AAGGAGTTTCTGCTCCTGCTCAGGGACTCCCAGTCCCATGTTGGCAAGGGACTGGCATGACAGGACTGAACAAAGCAAGGTGATGCTTCTATATTCACTTCTGCACTCAGCATATTCTATGACTTCCCTGCTAGGGGTGACCAGGTACGAAAGTCGAGCAATCATGGTGGCCTGCTGCCTGAAATGACCATAATCAGAATCTCTGTGGGCAGGTAGGAGACTGTGCGGGACCGTGGGAAGGACCTGCTCCACCCACCATAAACCAAAATGTGTGCACGTTGGCCCCGGATTCCCACCTGATGCTGCCGTGACCCTTCTGAGTCACCTTCTTTCACTCTGTGTCTTCCTCCTTCATCGCTCTCTACCCAGCTCCCACCAGGCAGGCAGGATGTGCTTAACACAAAACCTACTTTGACCTTTGGTGATGCTTTATGCAAACACCTGTTAAGTGTTGGCTCAGTAGGCCTAGACCTTGTGCCTCCATGGCCTGGAGGCCATCTAGAGACTGGGCCCCCATCCCTTAGGCACAGAATCGGCATTCAGAAGACAGACACATCCATGCTTCTTCCTATCTGGGCTTTCTGCATCCTTTTAGAAGTGGACACATTGTCCTCCTTTTCACGATGGGATGGTAAGTGATGCTGAATTTCCTTAGGAACTAGAGGCATCCCAACTGTCCCTCACAACATGTCATAAAGAAGTCATTTTACGTCTTGCCCTTTCTTCAGCTCTTGGCTCTTCTGTGATAGGTTGGAAGTAGAATGCAAAGGTGCCACCCTCTCAGGGATATCAGGTGGCCAAAGGCCTCTTTGTCTTCCTGCTTCTGTTTTTTCCTCCCACCCATACAGCCTCCCTGGTCCCTCACCTCACTGAGCACTAGGATGCCACCCCTGCCCTGTTTCTTCATCTCCAGCCCCATGCTCTTGCTCAGGCTCCATGCATTTAGAGCTTTCTCTGTGATCTCTCCTGATGGCACAGTATTCCAAGAGCACCTGCTGCATAGATATCAGCAGCAGTTTTGACTGCCTTTTCCTGCCCACCAACACTCTCACTCTGCCACCAACTGCTTGGGCCCTAATAGAAACTTTCCATGGTAACTTCCAGAATCCCTTTCTACCCCCAGTTTTCGGCCTTTGGTTCTCCATACCATTCCTCCTTCCCAGAGCCGTGTCCCTTCCCAGCTCCTCACTCATCCCTCTGGGTCTGCGCCCACACTCCCTTATATGTGGAGAGATTCTTTCTTCTAATCCATGATGTCCTCCATCATTAATTCTACTTCTCTCTACCACCAGCAAAATATCTGCTTTTAGTAAAAGCCAGCTCTTTGATTTGGGTACTTGCCCTCACTTCTTCACTTCCACACCACAACATTTGTCCAGAAATTCTCCCCTTGCTGTCTTGCTTATCCCTCTTGACTGGATCTTTTCTATCACCATCCAACCATCCAATAGACTACATCTCCTGTCTTAAAAAAAAAACAAGAGAAATGCAAATCAAAATCACATTGAGATGCCACCTCACGCCAGTTAGAATGGTGATCATTAAAAAATCAGGAGACAACAGATGCTGGAGAGGATGTGAAGAAATAGGAACACTTTCACACTGTTGGTGGGAGTGTAAATTAATTCAACCAGTGTGGAAGACAGTGTGGCGATTCCTCAAGGATCTAGAAATAGAAATACCATTTGACCCAGCAACCTTACTGGGTATATACCCAAAGTATTATAAATCATTCTATTATAAAGACACATGCACATGTACGTTTATTGAGGCACTGTTCACAATAGCAAAGACTTGGAACCAACCCAAATGCCCATCAATGATAGACTGGATAAAGAAAATGTGGCACATATACACCATGGAATACTATGCAGCCATAAAAAATGATGAGTTCGTGTCCTTTACAGGGACATGGATGAATCTGGAAACCGTCATTCTCAGCAAACTGACACAAGAACAGAACAAAACACTGCATGTTCTCACTCATAAGTGGGAGATGAACAATGAGAACACACAGTCACAGGGAGGGGAACATCACACACTTGGGTCTGGATGGTAGGGGTTAGGGGAGGAATAGCAAGGGGTGGGGATCTGGGGAGGGATAGCATTAGGAGAAATACCTAACATAGATGATGGGGCAATGGATGCAGCAAACCACTACCATGGCACATGTAACAAACCTACATGATCTGCACATGTACCCGAGAACTTAAAGTTAAATAAATAACAAAAACAAACAAACAAAAAACAAAAACTCTTTCTGGATCCCACTGTGCTCTCCTGCACCTCTATGAAACAAAAGCCTTTAAAAGAGTTGATTACACTTGCAGTCACAAACTGTTCTCCTTCCATTCTCTCTTGAATCCATTCCAGTCACATCTGTTCCTCCATCACTCACTTGGGGCTGTTATTCTCAAGGTCATTAATGATCTCTATATTGCTAAATCTAATGGTCAACTACAAGTCCTCATCTTAACTGACTGACTGGCAACTTCTCATTCTGTTGGTCACCTCCCTGAAACACTTTCCTTTCTTGGCTTCCAGTATACTACTCTTCTAGCATTCTTCCTATCTTGCTGGCTGCTGTGTCTCAGTCTCCTCTGCCTATGTGTTTCTCCTCCTCAATCTTTTAGCAATAAAGAGCCCTAGAGACCAGTCCTTAGATCTCTTTCATTTACACTCACTCCCTTGGTGGTCATATCTAGTCTTATGGTTTTATATCTATCTATCTATCTATCTATCTATCTATCTATCTACCTACCTACCTACCTACCTACCTACCTACCTATCTACCTACCTACCTACCTACCTACCTATCTTTATCTAGCTGTCTATCTGCCTGCAGCCTGGGCTCTTCCCTGAGCTCCAGGCTCAAATGATCCAGTTGTCTAAGCAACATATATTCATCTCATACAATACAAATGTGAACTCCTGACTTCCCATCTCCCATCACCCAGTAAGACCAAACCTACTCCAATGTCAGTATTTCCCATGTCAATTAATGCCAACTTCATCCTGCCAGTTGTTCAGGGCAAAAACATTGGTGTCATCCTTGACATTTTTTTCTTCTTATTGTCCACATCCAATCTATCGGTAAAACCTATTGTCTCTACCTTCAAACTGAATCCAGCACCTAAATGCCTGTAATCTCTGTTGCTGTAATCACTGGAGTAACCTTACAATGAATCTCCCTGCTTCTACCGAAATCTATACCCCCAGTGTTCTATTTTTAGCACCATGACCTAAGTGATCCTTTTAAAGACATAAGTCAGATCTAAGCAGACCCCCTAACAGCTCCCCAACTTACTCAAAGTAAGAGCCAGCTTCCTTGCATTGAGCTACCAGGCCTTATACCATGTGGCCCTTTACCACTCTGGAGTCATCCTCTACCACTTTCTCCCTTTATTCCTTTATTACTGTGCTTTAGGTTCACTGGCTTCCTTGTTCCTTCTGATAGGCTGGGCATCCTCCAACCTCCAGGCATCTGCATTAGCTATAGTTTCTGACCAGAATGCTCTTCCTCATTTACCTACATGGTTTATTCTCATCACCTTGTAGTCCTTGCTCACATGTTAATTTCTTAGTGAGATCTGCCCTGAGCTCCTTATTTAAAACTCTATTCCCATTCAAGTCTTCTCTAATCCTGTTACCCTGATTTTTTGCATATATCTGGTCACCTTCTATATACTATGTTTTTATTTATACTTCTTTTCTATTCCTCCCAGGCATGCTTCTAACGTAAGCTCCTTGAGAAATCAGATCTTTTTTTTCTTCTTCTGTTCACGGCTGTATTCCCAGTGCCTATAAAAGTGCCTGGCATATCATAGGTGTTTAGTTTTTATTGAAGGAGTGAAGAATGGGTGAATGAATTCCATTCATTCTCCAGCTTGACAACCTCATTCTGATCCTTTAAACGTTTTAATGTACTTTTTAAAAATTATACAGGGGTTTCTCCCGTGAGTCAGCATTCTCTGACATGGCATGCTGTTGTTTGACGCTGTGCCTTTGTTCCTGTTGTACTCTCAGCCTGGGGAAGCCTGTCCACTCCCTACCTCCTTCCAGACTAGCACCTGCTCATCCTTTGGAACTCAACCTACATATCATCTCTCCTAGGAAGCTTTTCACGAACATTCCCCAAAACCAGATTAAGTGCCCTCCTATGTACTTTCACCTTATTGCTTTTAATGAGTTTTTACATGACTGTCTATCCCAGAGTTCATGAGCTTCATGAGACAAGGCCTGTGAATTGTTCACTGTTATCTCTCTAAGTGCCTGACATAGTGCCCAACACTTAGTAAGTACTTGAATATTTGAACTGTTGAATGCAAGACTCAGCTCAAAGTTGTTTTTATTGTGACCCTTTTAGGGACCTCCTCATCAACTAGTCTTCATTCCAGGCAGCATTCATTCCATGCAAATGAAAGGCAATGGAGGCTGGAACAGGCCACAGGACTAGAGCAGACTCTCAGGTGGGTTACCCTTAAAGATCTCAACAACAACAGGGAAAAGCCAGGGAGATTCTATCATCTGGTTTTGACATCTGCCATATTTAGCCGTGTGCTTTTGATAAATACTCCTAAAGGAAGGGGCACCATGGCACTCTAAAAGACAGTCCTTTTAGAGTTGTGGGCATACACTATATAGAAGCCATCAATGAATTTTGCCTGTGGGCCAAAAACGCATTAGACTCCTGGCCACTGCTTCTTATACTACCACCATGTCCTCATTGCTCCTCTGGGACCAACACACCATGGGACACCGTGATAAGAATTCAAGCCTGACCTTTACCTTCAATGCCCCTAAAACAATGCCCCTGTTCAAGTCCCTTTATCCACATTCTAGGGCAGGGCTGGGAGGAGTCATGTGGAATGCTGACCCATCTGAAATAAAATGTGATTTAAGCTTCTGTACCACATAAGAAGTACTTTTTAGGTCCTTTACTCTCTCTCTCTCTCATATGACACATTGAAAATGAAGAGGCAGAAACAGGTGGCTCTTTGCTTAAAGGTATAAAGTATATTTGGAGAATGCCCTGCTTCACATGCATGTTAATGGAAATGACAATGAAAGCCTTTTTCAGGGGATTGCGGAGGTTCAGAAACCTATGAACTCCTTTTTCTTGGAATGAGTATTCTTGTATAAACCAGTGCCTTCTGCTGAGGTGAGTTGAGACCTGGGATAGATTTCCTGGTTGAGTGGCATAAGTAATTTGAGGACAGAGTTTGGAGCATTTGTAGGAGTGGCACAGGACCCAGGATTGGCTGGACTGAAGGGAGTATCACTAGAACAGATTATTTAGGTACTGGGGGGCATCACGGAAGATCAGGCCTTCCTCCTCAGTAGAGGGAGGCTGAGCCTCAGGGTCCTCTGTTGTCTTCTCTGTTGTAGCGACCCACACGTGATCTTTGGTGACAGTTGGACTCTTCTCGGTGTTTTCTGTCCTGTCTTGGGTCACTCTCTTAGCCTTAGAAAGGAAAATGGATTCCTCATGCCTTCGATCTTTCATTTCAGGGTTAATCCAGTGCAGAAACAGCTTCATCTTGTTATCCAAGCGAACTTCTGGAGCTTCTGGAAGGATGGCACTCTTGTGAGTATGGACTGCCCTTACCAGATCCTGCAACACTTGGCCCTAGAAAGTGTGGCCCTGCAAAGGTTGCCCTGTAAAATATGGCCCTGAACTATTTAACCCTGAAAACTTTGGATCAGAAAAAATTTACCCCTTCAAATACTGTACTTGCAAAATTTTGGCCCAGTAAGTTGGCCCTTTAAGCTCTGGGTGCTCCAAGTTGGCATTCTCAGGAATCTTTGTTTGGTTGAGATTATTCAGCTTACTCTAACAGCTTTGTAAATTATTATCTGGTTCTTTTGCCCCAAGTAATCCTGGAGGATGCTCTTAGAACTCAGGGTAGGGGGAAGCTGGTGAAATAACCGTAGCCAGCCCTGAAAAGATGGAAATGGGTTTCTACAGATCCAAACGGATCCTTGCTAGTCCCTGCTCAAGGCAGCCATCTTAGCTAAACTGAAGTTTTACCTGAGAAAGATCCTGGAGATATATTTGGCCAGTTTTGAGCTCTGAAGTTCTTAGAAGTGCCCCTACTGCCCCTGAACCTTGGCAGAATGGGTTTTCTTTCTGGCTGGGGAGAGCTCCAATGCTGTACCCCCTTCTCTGTGATTCCAAGCTGCTTTGAACATAATCGAATGTCACTGAGTCATCTGTTTTCTCTCCTGAGGTAGGGACTTGTCCTCACTCTTGCAAATACCTGGTCTAAGAGGTTCAGGGCCCTCCAGACTGGGTTGTTCACTCTAGCCTCCAGCTGAACACAAAATACCTGGGCCTCTGTCATGCCCCCACTGGGTATGAGATCCCAGAAACCCAGTGGGCATGGGGTACTGCTCTGGAACAGAGCGTGTAGCTCTGCGGCACTGTCTTTGGTTCAACTGTAAGCTATTCTTTTAGGCCAACCCATTCTGGATCTGGGGCAATGACAGTTCCAGAGCATCCTCCAGGATTACTTGGGGCAAAAAGACCAAGTAAGAATAATTTGCAAAACTGTTAGAGTAAGTTGAATAAGCTCAACCAAACAGAGGGTACAGGATTGGAGCTTGCTAGTGGGATGGGGAGTTTCTGGAGCAACGTCTTTTCCTTGGTTTAGCAATCTTTAGACTCCTAAAGGATCCCTGAGTGGAGATATTCTTTGGGATGGTCGAAATTTCTTCCCTGGACTCCCTTGTCTTTGGGAACTTCCCAAATGTATCTCAAGGAATTCCTTTTTCAGGTAGATACTGAGTTTGGCCAAGATGGGTGCCTTGAGTGATTAGGGGCTGTGAGGATCTGTCTGCCTCTCTAGTGGTACCATCTCCATCAGCTTGTATTTCAGTCCAGAACACTTGTACATTATCTGCACAAGCCTCATTGGTGTCTTGAAAGCATGGCCCAGGGTTTATATATTGCTGTTCAGATGAGACTGAATCAGTGGCTCTGATGGGCTCAGTCTGTGATTGTGGATTGGTGAGTGACTGCCTGGACCGCAGCCCTGACAGAAAGGCCAAAACTTGTCTCAAGTTTCTCAATCCCTTTGTGGTACAGGCTCTGGGCAGCTCAGGATCATCAGTAACAGCATCTGGTAAGGCCTGTTGCTGCTGGTCAGGGCCTGTTGGTATTGAGAATGTCCCTTCCTGATCTGTGTAGGGGCCGATATGTGTCATTCCCAGGTCCAGGTGTTTGCTTTCTAGAGGACAGGGGCACCAAGTTGCTGCCCAGGCCCTTGGAATACCGCAGATCCAGTGATTTGCAGTCCCAGCAATGGCAGATGTGGGCAGGGACAATACCCTAGCAGATCTTCCCACATTTGTAATCTATGTGTAGCTCCCCACACATGATCTGTTTGCTCTGTGACATTACCTTGGCCTGAGGAAACAATTGTGGACTGGCCCTGCTGCCACAGTGGATTAGGGTAGGCCACTATTCCCACTGGCCTCTAGTGCTCCATGCTGGGGAGACTGTCCATAGGTCAGGGCTGTGCTGTTCCAGGGCAGGTCATCGGGTCACAGGAGCAACTGGATAGACTGCTGGATCTTTTGGATCAGGTCCCAGCAATGGTAAATCAACCCTCTATTTCAATTGCTCCTGGAGATGGAATCCTAGCAGCCTCTGGGCATGTGCTAGGAGAATGCTGCCTCCCTCTTGAAGACTGACATGGACTTCCCCAATCAAAGAGGTCCTAGATCTAGTGGGAAAGTCTGCAACATGTCCCAGGGCTTACATCATAAGATTTCCTGTGTCTACAGAGATCTCTGGACAACAGCTGGCAAACTCCACTGAACCTGGAGCTGCCTCTACAGCAGGTGCCACTCCAAGGCTTTCACTTAGCCTGAGTCAGATACAGGAAGTTGATCTAGGTTTCTCAGTGGTCAGATGGAGAATGTGGGGAAAAAGGTGGGGAAGGAGGGGAGGATTTTCAGTATAGAGATGAAGGAGAAATCATTGAAGAGAAAGGGCCAAGGGCTCCCTTGTTGTGGAAATCTCTAAAGGCAGACCAGGAACTTACCGAGAAAGAGAAACCACAGTAAGGTAGCTACAGATGTGGCACACCGAGGCCTCAGTGCATCCCCCAGGAAATGGACAGAGGCCACTTAGAAGCTCAAAGAGGGGAGAGGGTGAAGCTAGAGCCATGGGGTTTGGGATTTGTTCACAGGAATTTTTCTGCTCTGAGTCCATAGTGGATCCTTCAAAAACCCTGAAAGCTAGAGTGGACCAGCTAGCCTCCCATGAAACCCAGAGTCAAGGGGATGGAAGCTCATCTCTTCAACAGAGGCCTTAGAGATGGCATTCAGGGTGAAAGAAATGGCTGTTTGTCTGTCTGTTTTCCACCCTTTGGAATATTAGAAGCAGTGTGGCATAAGCTTCCACAGAAACTCCTCCACAGATCTTGGGAGCCCTCAATTGTGAAAATATGTGCATTAATATCCTTGCGCTTGAAGATTTCTCAGGACCTTTTGGACACTGCAGTAGCAGTTTAAAGGAATGCAGGGTCATAGGGTGTTGTTTTAGGTTTGGGACCTCTGGGTTCAGGGAAAGAAAGGGAATCTAGTATTCAAATTTGTCCTGACCTTGGTTCTCCAGGACAAATTGGGAGTTATTTTTCTTGCTCTCCAGCTGGCTCAGAGGAATTCCATGCTTCTCAAAGTTTGAAGACAGAGATCCCATGCCCTGGGACACAGCAGGGACTTGAGATCTCTGACCTCGCCGAAAGTGATCAGCCCAGGAATCTTGGATGCTGTCTGTACCAGCTGACTGGGTTGCTGACTCGGTTAAAGATTTCTGATCTGTTAATTGTGACAATGTTGTTGTTACAGATGCCAGTGAATGCTCTTTGGATTTCTCGGTACCCAGATCCTGACTCTGCTCAAAAGATGCACTAGATGTGGACAAAGCCTCTAGGCAAGAGGAGCCCTGTGATGGCCCCAGTGAAGTCAGGGAGATCAGGCTGTTCTCATTCACCAGCAATTGCTGAATCTCCAGAGCCATAGCATTGCAGATTTGGCAGCAGGGATCTGCACACAGGATTCGCCGCACACTTCCTTCCTGAGGAAGCCAGCCCTGACTGGGAAGAGAAACATGACAAACATTAGTGATAGAGTGACATCTGGCTTCTCAGAAGAGTGTGGGACAGGGTTGGCACTGTCCTTTCCTAGACCTGAAAATCCTGGGGCCTACACTCTCTTATTGTCTATCTCTCTGCTTTTCTTCCTAAGAAAATGCCATTTGGAGGCCAGACACAGTGGCTAACACTTGTAATCCCAACACTTTGGAAGGCTGAGATGGGTGGATCACCTGATGTCAGAAGTTCGAGATCAGCCTGGCCAACATTGTGAAACCCTTTCTCCACTAAAAATATAAAAATTAACCAGGCATGGTGGCACATAACTGTAGTCCTAGCTACTCAGGAGGCAGAGGTAGGAGAATCACTTGAACCTGGGAGGTGGAGGTTGCAGTGAGCCGAGATCGTGCCATTGCACTCCAGCCCAGCAACAAGAGTGAAACTGTCTCAAAAATAAAATAAAAATAAAATAAAATAAAAAGCAAGAAAAGAGAAGAAAAAAAATGCCATTTGGCAAGGTGAGCTGGGTTGAAGGTCTGGAGCTTGTTGGGCAAGGCCTCAGAAAACCCATGGCAGGGCACAGCCCTCAGAGAGGGCTGGGACCTGGGGTCAGTTCTCTGTTGATCATGTTGAAAAGCTGAACTAGGAGAAACGAGCCAGGTGGTTAGCTGATGGTGCATCACCAGGAACATCACCAATTAGAACCCAGACCAATTTCATTTGAGGCTAAGAAAGCCAAAGCCTGGTATTTGAGCTTGAAGTTCATGTAGGACCTCTGCATTCTGAGGGCTATTTGGTATCCCTGCTGGTGTACCCAACAACTTTTGGGAATCAATCCTGTTCTCGAGAATTATTAAGAAGAAAAGATGATAGGCTGCCATCTGAGGGCTGTCTCCCTAATGACAGAACCAGAGGAGGTAATGTCAGCAGAGTCCAGTCAGACTCAGAGGAGAGAGAACAAAGAGAGTAAGAAAGGGATGACTTCTTTATCCAAAATTCCCCTTGACTGAATAACTTATCTCATGGCTGAATGCAACCCCATGTAGAGTCTTTTATGAATTATGCACTAGTACATGCCTGAATTCCAGAACTACTGTGACCGTAGCCCAAAGCAGAATTGGGTGACTCTTATTCCCTCCTGAGATGTCTGGCCCAGCCCCCATGTCCTGTCAACTCTGTCAACTAGTGAACCAGCCTCCACTGTGTATGTCTCCCTCCCAGCCATTATCCCTCTTCTCATCTCTACCCCAAGGCAAGCTGAGAAATTATCACAGACCAGGCTTGCAGCTGGGAGACTGCAAAGAACAAGAGATTACCTTTTCATGAGAAAGAGCAGCTTCCACAACTTCTCGGCTTCTTCCTGGGAAGTTCTCCTAGCTGAGGAAACAGGAGATAGTGTTATGTGGAACAGGAGAGGATTCAGGGACATCCTATAAAAAGTTGAAGGCCTTTTATCGAGAGGATACTGAAACCTCCAAGAGTCAGAACACAAAGTCACATCTGTGTACAACTTAACCATTTACAATGTGTTGTTCCAGATTTGTCTCATTTGTTCTGCACCATCATACTGGGAGTGAGGAAGGATCATCAGATGCCCATTTTGTGGAGAACAAGACTGAGAGTTGAAGTGACTTCTGCAGGGTTGTAAAACTAGTAAATGACTCAGTTGAGGACTTCTGCCCTACTTCCTCATTCTTAATTCTCAGGAGGAAAAGATAGAGAATTTTTTTAATCCCTTGATTTTCCACCCAAGGAAGTGTTTCATGAGAAACTGTCCCATTGGGGTACTAGAGCCTGCAGTGGTTAGAGCACCTGGCTCTTAGCACAGGGGTCATAGAGGGCCAGGATCCATGGGAACCTTATCCACAGTGGAAGTGAATCAGAGGAGAGACTGGGACTTTACCTTTTGATGTTGTATCTCTAGACTTTTGTTTGACTCTTCGGTGACACTTAAAGACAAAAACATTAAACATAAAGCTGCTACCCCATTTTTCCCCATATCTAAAATGAAACGAAACTCATCAATATTTCCCAGTCTTTTTCTGTGTTTCAATTTTATATACTCTTCTACCTTTCCTTTCTAGATCCTTTTCACCCCAATACTTTCCTTATTTGCTTATTTCTGACTCACTTTCAGGCTCTTCCATACTCCATGCCTCCCACCCCCATTCCTTTGATAAGTTCTGTGGGGACTTTAGGATGGGACAGAAGGAAAAGTGGAACAGATTAAAGAATGGATGGGTCTAGAAGCCAAAGGAGTTCAGCCATCAAGTGGCTCTAAATGACCCCAACTGAAATAATTACCCAGATTGGGAGCTCTTCTGGTATCCAGTGAGGAAACCCCCTTAAAAAAGCAAGGAGTAAGACTAACAAGGGAAAGCTGGGGGATAAAATCTTGTTTGAAGCATATCAATTTAGCCATGGCGATAGTGGTTCCCTACCCGGCAACAGCTCCTGTTAGGTCCCAACCTTAATTTTTGGCGGCTCTTTTTCACTTGCCAAATAATTAATGCAATAATGCAGATGGATCCATAGGTGTATAAGGGATATCCAGCATCCCACAAAACAAAGGTAGGACTCAACATGATCTAAACCTCACTAGCCATCCCTCTCCCTAGTCTTTCACTGTCTTGAAACCTAATGCCTCCAGATTCTACACCTTGTCATTTCTGCCTCACAGAAGAGGGATCCAAACCACCAGATTGCATCACAAAGCCCTCCTGTTCCGCAAGACAGGGATAGCATCACAGACCTTTGTCTGTTTTTAGAGAGGCTTACTGTGGCGATTCAATGTTCACATGGGGGTGTCTGGTGTTCTGTATGGGCTACAGAGCCTGGGGCAAAAGATGCCAAGGTCAGGGGCAGCATGTACCTTTCCATGTTCTCTCTACTCTCTATACCCTTATGGCTCAACTCTCTCCTTTACTACAATGGCCTGACACCTATCCCTAGATAACTGAGTCTCTATGCACACTATATGTCCTATAAGAGAGATAGTGGATAGATCAGAGGAACTCTATGAACTGTACTGGGAAGATGACAAAAACCAACCAACCTGAGGATAGATAGGGCAGGCATCATATTGTTAAATCTTGGAAACATATTTTTAATGTCACCAACAATGATATATGGTCAGTATTGAGAGGTTCAGAAAGAGGACAGTATATGATGTATCAAGGACAGGACAAAGCTGTTCTTTTAAATAACTTTCTGAGAGTTAAAGAAGGAATCCTACCAGTTTGTGTGGTCCAGCCTTAGACGGGTGAGCAGAGATTGTAAGCACTACCTTTCATGGAGGCACATGAATGAGGCTTACTTCTGGAGCTCCATACAAGGCTTGATTTTCCAGAATTGCTTCTACAGATGTCATACCATCTATCCTGTTCATGGAGATGAATTATTGGGAAGACTTTCGATTAAGGTTCACACACTTGTGATTCTTCAGTTGAATCCACCATGGTTGGAATGTTTGCCTGAAAGAGTGTTTTATGAAAATCTGAATTTGAATAACTTTAGGCAGAGCAGGATTTATCCCCATTCAACCCTGGTACCTATCACTCCTGTGCCCACTGATTCTCACATTAATGTTAACTTCATGACTCCTGACAATATTACGGCATGCCTCCAACACCCTAGGATTTCTGAATTTCTTTGAGAAGTTCTTGCCCTGTTAAGAGTGGTTGGTCTTAGGCTCAAAGTCTCTGAGAAGGGGCAGTGGCTCACACCTGTAATCCCAGCACTTTGGGAGGCTGTGGTGGGTCGATCACCTGAGGTCAGGAGTTTGAGACCAGCCTGGCCAACATGGTGAAACCCCATCCCTACTAAAAATACAAAAAATTAGCCAAGTGTGGTGACAGGTGCCTGTAATCCCAGATACTCAGGAGGCTGAGGCAGGAGAATCACTTGAACCCAAGAGGTGGAGGTTGCAGTGAGCCAAGATCATACCACTATACTGCAGCCAGGGAGACGGAGACTCTGCCTCACAAAGTCTCTGAAAAGGGTATTTGATCCTTCCTCCAGCATTTGTTCCTCCACCTGGTAGGAATAGTGAACACTCAGTAAGTGCTTAACCCTAAGTTGGGCAGTGTCGAGGGCACAAAGACATTTGAGTTGTGTTGCCTACCTGCTCTCAAGATTCTTGAAAATCTGGTTTCAAAGACAAGGCATTCACAAGAAGCAAAAGCCAACCTTTTGCTGGGGAAGGGGCTGGAGAAGAGGGAAATAGATTGTTAATGTTTAATGGGTACAGAAGCTTCCGTTTGGGGTGATGAATACAACCATCTTATTCATAAGTGAATGCCCTTAATGGTGCTGAATTGTACACTTAAAAATAATGAAAATGGTAAATTTTATGTTAAGTATATCTTACCATAACTTAAAAACAACCAAAAAATTCATTAGCACAAGGGCTTCTTTTTGAACTAAGCTATAAGGGAAAATATTCTGAAAATGATTTGACAAACAAATGGATTAGTGAACGTTTTTCTCTCCTTTAAATTTTTTATTTCCATAGGTTATTGGGGAACAGGTGGTGTTTGATTACATAAGTTCTTTAGTAGTGATTTGTAAGATTTTGATGCACCCATCCCCCAAGCAGTATACACTGCACCCTATTTGTAGTTTTATCCCTCACCCCCCTCCCATCCTTCCCCCAAATCCTGAAAGTCCATTGTATTTTTCTTACGCCTTTGTGTCCTCATAGCTTAACAGCAACATATCAGTGAGAACATACAATGTTTGGTTTTCCATTCCTGAGTTACCTCACTTTAAATAATAGTTTCCAATCTCATCCAGGTCACTGCGAATTCCATTAATTCATTACTTTTTATGGCTGACTAGTACTCCATCAAATATAAATATACTACAGTTTATTCACTCGTTGATTGCTGGGCATTTGGGCTGGTTCCTTCCACGTTTTCGCAATTGCGAATTGTGCTGCCATAAACTTGCGTGTGCAAGTATCTTTTTCGAATAATGACTTCTTTTCCTCTGGGTAGATACTCAGTAGTGGGATTACTGGATCATATGGTAGTTCTACTTTCAATTATTTAAGGAATCTTCACACTTTTTCTGTAGTGGCTGTACTAGTTTACATTCCCACCAGCAGTGTAGAAGTGTTCCCTGGTCACCACATCCATGCCAACATCTACTGTGTTTTGATTTTTTTATTATGGCCATTCTTGCAGGAGTAAAGTGCATTGCAGTTTTAATTTGCATTAGTGAACATTTTTCTTAAATGTCCTACTTATACCTACAAAAGGAAAATAGATCTTCAATATTAAGGATAATTTAAGAAGAGTCCTACCTGAAAATGGGATGAATTTGAGCTATTTCAACATCTTTCCTGAACTTGCAAATTCCATAATACAGGAATGAGAAAAGTTTTTCAACCAAAGAGCACTGAATGAAAGGTTAACAAAAATCAGTTATCAAGCAGCTTGAGTCAGCTCCTTAGTAGCAGGTCATCAACATACCTGCAAAGATCCTTCATTACTTTTATTACTCCTACTTAACCAACTGCTGCTGCCCTCTATGCACTGTAACAGTTCTATCACCCTTTAGCCTGACCTCTTGCTCGCGGCAGAATCACCACATTCTGCAAATCCTGCACCTGCTCCTGCCAGTGCACTACTTACCTCACAGATAACCCACAGCTTCTGACCTTCCACCAAGCCATTAAAACCATCTGCTGCAAACTCCTCTCCAGCAATTCACCTGACCCTTGCTCCTCTGCCTCAGAGCTGAGGAATTAGGGCCAAGGGCTGAGCTAAAAATGGTCTCATGCCCTTTTGCAAGTTAGGCCTTGAGCATAGGTTTATTTACTGGTTTGGGACTCATTGACAAGGGTGCTTGTGGGGACAGGACAGTGGGATCAGTGTCTTCCTAAACAAGGGCACATTCATGTAATGAACACAGCTAAGCCTGGCATTTCTCACGATGTGGGTATGGGTCATCACATTTGCCCTTCCTGCCTCATGGTTGAGAGTGAACAGCAAACAAGGGAAATGAAGTACATGAAAAGTCCCTGCAGGTGCTGGAGAGCTACACAACTATCAAGGATTCTTCTTCATGTGTTTCTAGAAAACTTGCTTTAAGTCAGACCCTGCTTTCATTATAATGCTGCAGAGCCAGAATGATTGCAATAGAATTTCTTCAAGAAATTGTTCATGGCTACCAATTCGTATGTACTATGGATCCTGTCGCCTTGTAAAGAAAAATGTAACTGACACATGCCACTGATGTGAGTCTTGTCCCTTCACACAAGCCTTACAAAAGAGCTTTGATGTGTTGCATACACAGAAAATATTAGTGAACACCTTAAATGTACCAAGGTGCTGGGGACAGAGATGCATAGTTGTTGCGACTCAGCAGCAACACTTCTATAGATGAGCACCTTTGTTGATGCTCAAGAGCTAGAATCTCCAGGGAGTTGGTTAGGAAGCCCCAGAGTAGTGTCAGGCAGCAAAACCACCGGAGCTCACACAGCTGAGCGGGAGTCTGGCAAGTAGCAGTAGATGGCAGCTAGAGGCACTAGAGGGCAGCACCTGCCCACCCAATACTCCTAGTCTTGTGACGTCTCTGCCCTGGTAGGCACTTTGAATGATTACCTTCTCCAGTGGCTCTCAATCACGGCCTTACATTAGAATCACTGGGGGCTTGTTAAAAATATAGATTTCCTGGTTTCACTTCAGACTAATGAATCAGAATCTCTAGAGGCAGAGTCCAGCAACCTCTATATTAAATAAGTATCAAAAATAATCCTTAAGCAAGAAGGCACTGAGCTATGGATTTGTATTTGAGACTCTAATGAAACTATGTCCCTCCCCCACACTCAAAATTTGATTGAATTTCAGAGGCATTGACTCCACTTATGAAAACCGTGGAGAACTCAAAGAGCCTAGTTAAGAAATTTGAATACAATTTATGCCAAGCCAAAGACTATCATCACTCAGAGGTGGGGAGCCTCAGCAAGGACAGGGTCCTTCATGCCACAAAAGCCAAAATAGACAAATGGGATCTAATTAAGAGCTTCTGCACAGCAAAAGAAACAATCATTAGAGTGAACTGCAACCAACAGAATGGGAAAAAATTTTTGCAAGCTACCCATCTGACAAAGGGCTAACATCCAGAATCTACAAAGAGCTAACACAAATATACAAGAAAAAACCCCATCAAAAAGTGAGCAGAAGATATGAACAGACATTTTTCAAAAGAAGACATTTATGTGACCTACAAACATGAAAAAATGCTCATCATCACTGGTTATTAGAGAAATGCAAATCAAAACCACATTGAGATACCATCTCATGCCAGTTAGATGATCTCTCTCTATCATTATAAAATCAGGAGACAACAGATGCTGGAGAAGATGTGGAGAAATAGGAATGCTTTTACACTGTTGGTGGGAGTGTAAATTAGTTCAACCATTGTAGAAGGCAGTGTGGTGATTCCTCAAGGATCCAGAAATAGAAATACCATTTGACCCAGCAATCTCATTACTGGATATATACCCAAAGGATTATGCATTGATCTATTATAAAGACACATGTCACGTATGTTCATTGTGGCACTGTTAACAATAGCAAAGACTTGGAACCAACCCAAATGCCCATCAATGATAGACTAGATAAAGAAAATGTGGCACATATACACCATGGAATATTATGCAGCCATAAGAAAGGATGAGTTCATGTCCTTTGCAAGGACATGTATGAATCTGGAAACCATCATCCTCAGCAAACTGACACAAGAACAGAAAACCAAACACTACATGTTCTCACTCATAAGTGGGTGTTGAACAATGAGAACACATCGACGTAGGGAGGGGAGCATCACACACTGGGGTCTGTTGGGGAGTGGGAGGCTAGGAGAGGGATAGCAGAGGGTGGAGAGATTGAGGAGGGATAACATTAGAAGAAATATCTAATATAGGTGACGAGGGGATGGAGGCAGCAAACCACCATGGTATGTGTATACCTATGTAACAATCCTGCAAAATTCTGGGGCACATGTACCAGAATTTAAAGTAAAATTTTTTTTAAAAAAAAGTCATAGGAACTTAGGAAAAAAGAGAGAAGACCAATGACCAATATTGAGAATGAGAGAGGTGACTCACCAAAATTCCAAATATATTTAAAGGACAGTAAATTAACTTGAAAGCCAAACGTGGTGGCTCATGCCTGTAATCCCAGCACTTTGGGAGGCTGAGGTGGGCGGATCACTTGAGCTCAAGAGTTCAAGAACAGCCTGCGCAATATGGCAAAACTCAGTCTCTACAAAATAACCAGGCACGGTGGTGTGCAGTTATAGTCCCAGCTACTCAGGAGGCTGAAGTGGGAGGATTGCTTGAGCCTGGGAGGTGAAGGTTGCAGTGACCCAAGATCTTGCCACTGCACTCCAGCCTAGGTGACAGAGTAAGACCCTGTCTCAAGTAATAATAATAATGTGAAATTTTTAATGTCTATAAATTGACAACTTAGATGAAATGGACTGCTGTAGTTTGAATGTGTTCCTTCCAAACTTTATGTGTTGGGAACTTAATCCCCAATGTAACAGTGTTGGGAGGTGGGGCCTTTGGGGAAGTGTTTTGGGTCATGAGAACAGGGTGGATTAATGCCACTATAAAAAGGGTTTACAGGAGTGGGTTCTCTCTATTCTGCTTTTCTGCCCTTCATCCATGTGAGGACACAGCAAGGAGGCCCTCATCAAATGCTGGTAACTTCCCAGCCTCCAGAACTGTGAGAGAATAAAGTCTGTCTCTGTAAATTACCCACTCTGTGGTACTCTGTTATAACAGCACAAAATGGACTAAGACTGGACAAGTTATTTGAAAGACACAAACTATCAAAACTTACTCAAGAAGAAATAGATAACCCGAATGGCCTTAAATTCATTTAAAGAAATTGCATTTGTAGTTTAAATCTTGTCTCAAAAAAATTGTCAAGGAAATTCTTATTTATGTTCATATTTCTTCACTAGTGAATTCTAACAAATATTTGAGGAAGAAATAATACCAATTCTACATAAATTATTTCAAAAATTTAAAGAGAATACTTCTCAATTCATTGTTTGAGGCCAAGATTGCCTTGATACCAAATCCAAAGACATTACAAGAATGGAAAACTATAGACCAATATTCTTCATGAACAATGAATGTAAAAAGTTCTTAACATTTTAGCAAATCAGATCCAGCAACATATAATTCGTAATGAATATAGAGGGCAAACAAACATGATAGAACGCAAGGATGCAATCAGCAGAATCAGGACCATGGACAAGGGATCTAATTTCTTCCACAAAAAAATCATAAGGAGAAAAGTTAAAGCAATGAAGCAGAATCTATGTATTAAAAGAGACTTAAGAGACATTTAAACCACTTGCAGTTTGTGGGCTGTATTTGTATTTTGATTCCAAAAGACAAATTATAGAAAATAAAAATAGTCCAGGCATGATGGCTGGTGGGGTGTGATGGTGGCTCATGTCTGTAATCCTAGCACTTTGGGAGGCTGAGGCAGGTGGATCACCTGAGGTCAAGAGTTTGAGAAAATAAAAATAAATGTATAAGCCAATCAAGGGAATTAAAGCACTGATAGGATATTTGATGATATTAAGAAACTATTATTAACTTTCTAGGTTCAATAATGGTAGTTCTGTCATTTTTAAAGTTTGTGTAGATGTAGATGCATACTGAAATATTTAATGATATAACTCTCTGATATCTGGAATTTACTTCAAAATGAGGAGGTAAATAGTGTGGGGGTATAGAAGAAACAAGATCATTCAAAAATGTTGTTGAAGTTGGGTGACAAGTACATGGAGATATGTTATTTGAAATTTTCCCTAGTAAAAAGATATTTAAAAACAGAATCTTCCAAAAGTGCTTTAAAATACCTTACTAATAAAGTAAAAACACAAGACAGAATCATGTGTAAATAAACGTATGTAGAAATGCTTTTGGTTTAACAATATGCACATGAAGATATTATAGTCAAAATGTTAAATTTTATTTATACCTTGAAAACATGTTACTATGATTGCAAAAATGAATTTATATTCTTATATAAAATGTGTTATCCTATTAAATATTACTGATAGTTACTACTCAACCAAACACAATAATTACATTTCTATCTGCCTCAATAATGCATCCGAAAGAAACTCCTATAAAAGTGAAATTTTACCTTTTCTGTGCTACCTGCTGAGGGGTCCATATGGCGTTGTTCTGGATTCCCATCGTAACTTAAAGGGAAGCTTTCACAATGTCCAGAGCCCTTGATGTCCTGTGAATGAAGGAGGAGGATGTCCTTAAGTTCCTTGCAGCAGATAGGTGGCACCAACCTTGACTTCCAGATGGAATAGTACATCTATAAAAGGAAAAGTGATGGCATCTACATCATAAATCTGAAGAGAACCTGGGAGAAGCTTCTCCTGGCAGCTCGTGCCATTGTTGCCATTGAAAGCCCTGCTGATGTCAGTGTTATATTCTCCAGGAATACTGCCCAGAGGGCTGTGCTGAAGTTTGCTGCTGCTACTGGAGCCACTCCAATTGCTAGCTACTTCACTCCTGGAACCTTCACCAACCAGATCCAGGCAGCCTTCCGGGAGCTACGGCTGCTTGTGGTTATTGACACCAGGGCTGACCACCAGCCTCTTGCGGAGGCATCCTATGTTAACCTACCTATCATTGCTCTGTGTAACACAGATTCTGCTCTGCACTATGTGGACATTGCCATCTCATGCAACAACAAGGGAGCTCACTTAGTGGGTTTGATGTGGTGGATGCTAGCTTGGGAAGCTCTGTGCATGTGTGACACCATTTCCTGTGAACATCCGTGGGAGGTCATGCCTGATCTCTACTTCTACAGGGAACCTGAAGAGATTGAAAAAGAGCAGGCTGCTGCTGAAAAGGCTATGACCAAGAAGGAATTTCAGGTTGAGTGGACTGCTCCAGCTCCTGAGTTTACTGCTACTCAGCTTGAGGTTGCAGACTGGTCTGAAGGCATGCAGGTGCCCTTTGTGCCTATCCAGCAGTTCCCTACTAAAGATAGGAGCACTCAGCCTGCCACGGAAGACTGGTCTGCAGCTCCCACTGCTCAGGCCACTGAATGGGTAGGAGCAACCACTGAACGGTCTTCAGCTGTTCTTGCACAAGCTCTTAAGCAACATGGAAATAAGATTGATGGAAAATAAGCATCAAGTTTCTAAAAAAGAACACACACAAAACTGAAATTTTAGACTGGGCACAATGGCTGTAAATAAATGCCTGTAATCCCAACACTTTGGGAGGTTGAAGCAGGAGGACAACTTGAGCCCAGGAGTTTGAGACAAGCCTGGGCAATATAGTGGGACCCCGTCTCTACAAAAAATTATAAAGTTAGCTAGACATGGTGGCATGCATCTGTAGTCCCAGCTACACTACTCAGGAGGCTGAAGTGGGAAGATCTTTTGAGCCTAGGAGGTCAAGGCTACAGTGAACAACAATCATGCCATTGCACTCCAGCCTGGGTAACAGAGACACTGTCTCAAAAAAATTTAAATAAATGAAATGAAATTTTAGTCATTATTTCAAAAATGTCTTCAGTATCTGCATCTTTTTCACCATTTAAAATGTTTCTAAATGTTCTGAAAGTTAATTCCTATCTATGACAGATTTCAATTAAGAAAAAAAAAAAAAAGCTTTCTTGGGGAAGGGAGGCAGTTAATAGGGTGATAGCAACTCTCTGTGGATGATATTATGAGAAGTCCTCATATAATAGGTGAGTTTGGCCGATTAGCTAACCTAGATGATGAACTATAAAGCTCAAAGAATTCAGGAACACAAGGAAGAAAGGGTAATTAACCCTGACAGAGTAGCATTACTCAGTGCCAGACCCGTTACACGCATCACCTCATTCAGTGCTTACCACCAGCCAGACTCAGTAATTGTTACCCCACGTTCTACAAGAGAAAACTGAATCACCAAGAAGTAAAGTAACTAGCCCATCACAGCAACTTAGAGATAGATAAAAAGGTTGATTCTAACCTCCACTAAAGGCCATGCTACCTCCATTTCATTCAAGTTAAGAAGATATAAATACTCGGAATGATTATAAGTAAGCTGTTTGAAATTGCAGACTATTCACATATCCAGTAGTTTTTTTTCTTTAAAGAAGGACAGTAATAGGAATTTTAAAACAGGACCCAGGGCGGCCAAGGCAGGAGGACACTTGAGGCTAGGAGTTCCAGACCAGCCTGGGCAACACAGCAAGACCCCGTCTCTACAAAAAATAAAAAATTAGCTGGTCATGGTGGCATGCTCCTGTTTCTTGTGGAAGGAAGAAGGCTGAGGAAGCTGAGACAGGAGAATCACTGGAGCCCAAGAGGTTGAAGCTGCAGTGAGCCATAATTGTGCCACTGCAATCCAGCCCATGCTACGGTGTCCCGACCTGCAGGACAACAACAGGAGCCCGAAGGGAGTGGGGATGGATGGGCAGGAGACGCGAAGAATGGAGACAAGACAGGAGTCTGATCAAGTCTCGTTTATTGTTGCTGAGCTCACAGCTTAAATAGGCCAGGCAGGGAGGCGGGGCAAAGGAAGCTTGCAGTTGGGAAATTCCGGCCAGGTGTGCCAGGTGCCGCTACCAGCCTCGTGCCGTCCACGGGCTGGACCTGAATCATCAGGACTTGAGCCTCCCACAAGCGGCACCTGGGCTCTCTTGGCCCCAGGATTTGGCCTGTGCTGCTGCCCACAGGTTCCCCTTTATTTTATTTAGAAATTAGGCTGAGTGGTAGTTATGCCCGCGGGAACCGTGCCTGTCTTAGGTCAGAGGACCCCACATGAGAGAACATTGACTCCTTATCCATCATGGGGAGGGGAAAAACGTTTTCCTCCTTAGGCGGAGTGTCCTTACTCATGCTCCTCAGTTGCCCGTCATTGGCTAACCGGTTCAGCTCGCCGGGTGACCTGAGAGGAAAGGTATCAAGCTCCATCTCTAGGTCTGCCATCTCCAGCCTGTGGTAATGGACCTGAATGGGCTGCATCTTTATGGCCTCAATTTGTGATCCTGAGAAGCTCCTGAGTTTGCTGAGTATAACAAGACCGATTAGACAAGAAGACAAGGAGGGAAAGCAATCAAGATAAATAATACCATGTTGTTGACTCCTAAAAAGGAAAAAGATGGAAGACCCTCAGGGCTCGATGTCGTCCCTGGGTGGAGTTGGTTTTTCGGATTTTTTGGTATCTACTTGCTTTACAAGTCTCTCGGGAAGCCACCTGATAAATGCACGCATCCCCTTTTACCTTTCCTAGTTTGATTTTTTCTAATTGCTCAATAAGTTCCTGATGTTCAGTTTCAAGCTTTGAGTTTTAAGATATTCTATTTTAGATTGGATTTCTTTTTGAGGGAACCAGGGACAAACGTCCTTAATATAATCAAAATATTTAATTAACCGGTTTACTTTCACCTTTACTCCTCGCGCCTTTAATGCTATGCTGAGTTCTTCTACAAACAACTCATGCTTACTAATTTCCTGACCCATAATATCGTCGTCCACTTACCAGAGAGCAAGGCCGCAGCAGGTTCCCGCGGTGACTCCTCCTCTGGATTTCTTTCTTCAATCCGGCCAGCTTCGACGACGTCCCTGTGTCCCTCTTACTTCGGGTCCCTGTTCGGGCGCCAAACTGGCCCGACCTGCAGGACAACAACAGGAGCCCGAAGGGAGGGAGTGGGGATGGATGGGCAGGAGACGCGAAGAATGGAGACAAGACAGGAGTCTGATCAAGTCTCGTTTATTGTTGCTGAGCTCACAGCTTAAATAGGCCAGGCAGGGAGGCGGGGCAAAGGAAGCTTGCAGTTGGGAAATTCCGGCCAGGTGTGCCAGGTGCCGCTACCAGCCTCGTGCCGTCCACGGGCTGGACCTGAATCATCAGGACTTGAGCCTCCCACAAGCGGCACCTGGGCTCTCTTGGCCCCAGGATTTGGCCTGTGCTGCTGCCCACACTACGGAGGTGTAAACCCTGTCTCAGAAATAAAATAAAATAAAATAACTTTTTAAATGCAGGAGCCTAAGAGCAAGGCTGGATCCAAGGTCTCCAATGTCATCCAGGTACACACCTAGTTCCTCTCATCAGGTGTGTCCTCCAACTGCAGGAAAGGCACCAGACTGTCACAGCCCAGTCCTGAGATTGTTCCACTCATAGCCCATTTGGCAGTATGGTCATTTTCACAATATTGATTCTACTCATCCATGAGATTAGTATGTTTCCATTTGTTTGTGTTGTCTGTGATTTTTTTCAGCAGTGTTCTGTAGTTTTCCTTGTAGAGTTCTTTCGACTCCTTGTTATGTATATTCCTAAGTATTTTATTTTTTATTTTTTGCAGCTATCGAAAGAGGGGTTGAGTTCTTGATTTGATCCTCTGCTTAATCGCTGTTGATGTATGGAAGAGTTACTGATTTGTGTACATTAATCTTGTATTTGGGAACTTTGCTGAATTTTTCTATCAGTTCTGGGAGATTTCTGGGGAAGTACTTAGGGTTTTCAAAGGTAGACGATCATATTGTCGGCAAACGACGAAGGGTTTTCCATGTAGACAATCGTATTGTCAGCAAATAGTGGCAATTTGACTTCCTCTTTACCAGTTAGGATGACCTTTCTTTCTTTCTCGTCTGATTGCTCTGGCTAGGACTTCCAGTACTGTGTTGAAGAGGAGTGGTGAAAGTGGACATCCTTGTTTTGTTCCAGTTCTTAGAGGGAATGCTTTAACTTTTCCCCATTCAGTATTGTTGGCTGTGGGTGTGTCATAGATGGCTTCTGTTACATTAAGGTATGTCCCTTGTATGCTGATTTTGCTGACAGTTTTAATCATAAAGCAATGCTGGATTTTGCCAAGTGCTTTTTCTGCCTCTATTGAGATGATCCTGTGATTTTTGTTTTTAATTCTGTTTATGTAGTGTTTCACATTTATTGACTTGCATATGTGAAACCATCCCTGCATCCCTGGTATGAAACCCACTTGATCATGGTGGATTATCTTTTTGATATGTTGTTTGATTCAGTTAGCAAGCATTTTGTTAAGGATTTTGGTATCTATATTCATGAAGGATATTGGTCTGTAGCAGGCATCCCCAAACTTTTTACACAGGGGGCCAGTTCACTGTCCCTCAGACTGTTGGAGGGCCGCCGCATACTGTGCTCCTCTCACTGACCACCAGTGAAAGAGGTGCCCCTTCCTGAAGTGCGGCGGGGGGGTCAGATAAATGGCCTTAGTTTGGGGACACCTGGTCTATAGTTTTCTTTTTTGGTTATGTCCTTTCCTGGCTTTGGTCTTAGAGTGATGCTGGCTTCACAGAATGAATTAGGGAGGATTTCTTCTTTCTCTGTCTGTGGAATAGTGTCAAAAGGTTTGGTACCAATTTTTTGAATGTCTGGTAGAATTCTGCTGTGAATCCATCTGGTCCTGGACTTTTTTTGGTTGGTAATTTTTCAATTACCATTTCAATCTCGCTGCTTGTTACTGGCCTGTTTAGGGTATCTAATTCTTCCTGATTTAAGCTAGGAGAGTTGTATTTTTTCCAGGAATTTATAAATCTCTTCTAGATTTTCTAGTTTATGCACTCACAGCCCTGACTGGGTTACAGATTCATCAGACACTTCTGAGTAGCCTAGAACTTGCAACGTAGATAGACCTAGAAGGAGAGAATGTCCTGACCAGCAGGTGGGAGTAGGCCAGTTTCCTTGGAGTTACATTTCTTACTATAAACTAGTAAATTAGCATTCTGATTTATGCTTCAGTCTCTTTTTAGTTTAATTACAGTGGATCCATCCCAAAGAAACCACTTGGCACAGAGAACGTTGACCAAATGGAGCCTTTCTGCCTGTAAAGCTGAATGCTGGCTCCTGGTTCTCTCTAATTCTCCTCATTGGTCTCCACCCTCCTGACCAGTTGTAGAGGCACTAAGGACAATCCTAAACACTAGACTGCTGGCATGACCACAACCTGACCTCCTACCAGAGGAGACCAAGCACCGCCATTTCTCTCCTAAGCTGCCTTCCTCTCCTATGCTTTAGCTTTTTCCCTGTTAGATGAAAGTGGTGTCCATTAAAACCTATTTGTTGAATAAAACACTGTGGGGTATATAAATGTATTTAGAAGTTAATTCTGATAACCTAAAAGTTACATGTTTCAGCATAGTGGGAAATAATGGGTATCTATACAATAATATTCAAGGTATCTGAGAGTGTGTGGTATATAATCTCCTCATAAATATTAT